GTAAAACATACATGCGTAGGTGCTTGTCCAGTTGGTTCTAAACTGAAGTGCATATATTGTATCTGGCTAAAAACTCACCCCTTCCTAGATTTTGGTTTAATTAACAAAGATACTAACAATAGATCTCTGTTTAAGCTTGTTCCTCAGGCTTAGTTGTTCCTAGGGTTCCTACCTCAAAACTGCTTAGCCCAGATCCTCAGAAAGTCTCTCATCTCTCTTATGTCCAGGGGAAATAAGGAGCTACCTGCCTCTGAGCTGGCAGAACCCTCCTAAGCCTTTCCCAACAAGATCAACATCTCCTAACAGTAACAGAGCATGGTGTTTCAGGCAAGCACCACCAACCTACAACTTAATCTTTTACAGTGCAGCAAGGCTTGTTCAAAGCCTGACTGATAAAGGGTTATACATGGAGTAATATTTTTTCTCTTTAGTGTGAAGCCCCCCTAATTTGAATAATTAAATCCAAAGAAGTTACTGGAAGACTGTGTGACACGTGGAAATGGACAGGTGTAAGAATGGCAGTTAGATGATGGGACATCTCAGAAAGTGATTGTTTGAGAAGTAAATAGCTGGGAATGGACAACTGGAGGCACAGTTGGTATTAGGCCCTTGAGCATGATTGCTAGAACTGGCCAACTGGAACAGAGCAGTCAAAAATTCAGAGAATGCTATTAGAGCACAGAGACAACAGAAGGGGGCTTTTGAAAAGGTGAGAGATTGGGAACAGGCAGGGTGGAATGTTAACAGAAAACTGGATATAGTAACAGGAGCACATTATTATGGGTGTGAGGAAAGAAAAAGGGAGAGAAGAAACCAATAGAACCTGGGAGAAAATGAGGAAAGAAAGCGTCAGAATGACACTGAAAAATCCACCTGAAAGTCTGACTGAGCTCCATATTATCTCCCTGCACTGAAGATCTGAGTTGCTGCTTTACCTGCCTCTCTTCTTCTTTTCTTTTTTTAATAGAAAAACAAAAAAAATTTAACTGAGAAAATTCTGTTCCCTAAGCCAGATAGTTTTGATTAATGTAAATGGGTTCAGAGTGATATCCCCACTACTGAGGTAATTATGTAACATGATCAACCTCTCAAGTCACCCAGTGCCTAAACATGGGACACAATTAGGGATGAAGACCCAAAATGGGAGACAAAACATAAACAAGTATCTTTAAGATGAGTAGAAATCAGACAGTGTAAATAAACTGTCCAAAACTGTTGTTTGCAGTGTTTTTGTAGCGCTGTTGGTCCCAGGATACGAAAGAGACAAGATGAGGGATAACTTTTACTGGACCAGCTTCAGTTGGTGTAAGGGAAAGCTTTTGAGCTCCACAGAGTTGTTCTTCAGCTATAGAGAGGTAACCAGAGTTCAAAACTAAATACAAGGTGGGACAGATTGAACCCCTTATGCTTAACAATGTCTCTTCCACACACAGAAGTTGGTCCAATAAAATATATTACCTCGCCAACCTTGTCTCTCTCGTGTAAAATCTCAACTTATCTAATCAAACTTTATCAATAATATAAGATAATGAAAGCAAGATATCACAAGATGGTGTAGATGGGGAGCAAATTTGTATCTGAAATAACAGATGTCCCTCTATCAAACAGCTGACAGGTATTACACGGTGTGGTTTCAGTCATGACTGCTAGAATAAGGAACTGCAAGACATATAACCACATGATCAGGCACACCACCACAGCCCATTAGGGTCATGAAAGAAAAAAATTGGAGCTGGAATTTAGCTGGAATCTGTTTTCTCTTCTCAACTCTACCATTCACTCTCTGTGTGATTTTTTTGGGCAAGTCACTTCCCCTATCTGTGCCTCAGTTTCACTTGCTATACAACAAGAATAATGCTTATTTGCCCTACAGCAGTATTGATACTTAATTCATGAATGCCTGTATGGAACTTTAGATCCTCAGATGTAAGATATTCAGATACCACAGCAATGATTAAGATAGCATAGATAGGTGATATGTATTATATGCACACAAGTTTTACCAAATCTCCTATTCTAAACAACCTTATTCTTAACAGGCCAGAGCCCAAGGTCATTACTCAGGTAAAACTTTTACAGAAGCCAATTGAAATTTTTGAGTAAATTAAGTAAGGATCTTAGGATTTGGGGTGACTGGTGTAAAATGCAATGACGATTGTATGATTATAAAAGTAATAATCATGTCAATGTCTGTAGTCTCTGCCTTATTTATAGTCAATGCAAAACTTATTTTTAAAGGAGCATTTTTTGTTAACTAATTTCTTCAGGTATATGACTGTTTTCTATAACCGTAAAGGCAAACCCTTAATGTAAAAGTAGTTTATTCACAGTGCTGAAAAATACTCCCTTTAACACAAGGACCACTCTGGAAGCTCACAATGCAGTGTTACAGGGTTCTGTAGTGAACCTAACAACTTAAGTAAGTCCTGAGGCACAAGGCCAAAAGTTGTCAGCCTGCTCAGCACCATAAGAAATGAAGGTGTGCCACCGTAGTTACACACACTGTCACGTCTCTTATTGAGTCTAATCCTTCATGCCAATTACACTCAGTTAATTATTGATACATTTTCCTACTCAGAAGAGCAGATAATCTTCATGTCTTGACTAGTTAATCTGTAAATGTCAGACATTAAGCACTGTTGCCTACTTAAATTACTATCTAACACATTTTATGAAATGGAGAAGATCTATCTAGAGGCAGCTTGTCTGCCCAGGGATGCCCAATTCTTGATGTGTTCAGCAGTTAGACACTGGATTTGTTTTTGACTGGAACACCCAGTCGAAAAGGGAACCCGGTGACCAGGCCGTTGACTGTCCGGTTGGCGGCACCGTGTAAAGGAGCTGGCAGGCTCTCTGATAGCCTCCAAGCCATGTGGTTCCCAGGATGCAGCCAGCATGTCCCACCTCCAGATTCTATGCGTAGGGGCAGCCAGTGGGCTCCGCACGCTACCCCCGCCCCAAGCGCTGCACTCACAGCTCCTATTGGCCAGTGGAGGCTGCATGGGCAGCACCTGCAGAGGGGGCAGCACGCAGAGCCACCTGGCCACACAGGAGCCGAAGTGGGGCCATGCTGCTGCTGCTTCCGGGAGCTGCTTGAGGTAAGTGCCGCCCGGAGACTGCCCCCCTCCTGGGCCCTCACCCCACCCCTGATCCCCCTCCCACCCTCTGAACCCCTCAGCCCCAGCCCCACCGCAGAGTCTGCAGCCCCAGCTGGAGCTCTCAAACCCTGCCTGCATCCCAACCTCTCAGCCCCAGCCCAGAGCCCCCTCCCACCCTCCGAACCCCTCGATCCCAACCCGGAGCACCCTCCTGCATCCCAAAGTCCTCATCCCCAGACCCACCCTGGAGCCTGAACCCCCAGCCGGAGCCTTCACTCCCCCAGCAGGCCCCAGCCCTGATTCCCCTCCTACCCTCCAAACCCCTCAGTCCCAGCCCAGAGCACCCTCCTACACTCCAACCCCTCATCTCCAGCCCCACCCCAGTCTGCACCCACAGTCAGAGCCCTCACACACCCCCAAGTCCCAGCCCAGAGCCCCCTCCTGCATCCCAAATCCCTCATCCCCTGCCCCACATCAGAGCTCGTACCCCCAGCTGGAGCCCTCACCCCCTCCACACCCCAACCCCCTGCCCCAGCCCGGAGCCCCCTCCTGCACCCTGAACCTAGGGTGACCAGATGTCCCAATTTTATAGGGACAGTCCCGATATTCAGGGCTCTTTCTTATATAGGCATCTATTACCCCCCATCCCATCCCAATTTTTCACACTTGCTATCTGGTCCACCCTACCTGAACCCCTCATTTCTGGCCCCACCCCGGAACCCGCACCCGCAGCCCAGAGCCTGTACCTCCTCCCACACCTCAACCCCCTGCCTCTTCCTGGAGTCCCCTCCCATACTCCGAACCCCTTGACTCCACCCGCCAGCCCGCAGCCCCCTCCTGTACCCCAAACCCCTCATCCCTGGCCCTACCCCAAAGCCCGCACCCCCAGCCACAGCCCTCACCCCCTCTCGCATCCCAACCCACTGCCTCAGCTTGAAGCCCCCTCCCACACTCTGAACTCCTCATTTCTGGCCCCACCCTGGAGCCCACAGCCACAGCCCTCACCTCCTCCTGCACCCCAGCCATCCCAGTGAAAATGAGCAAATGAGTGAAGGTGGGGAGAGTGAGCGATGGGGTGGGGGTAGGGATGGAGTGAGCAGGGGTGAGGCCTCGGAGGAGGGGCAGAGCAGGGCAAGAGTGTTCGGTTTTGTGGGAGTAGAAAGTTGGCAACCCTATTATATTCCCATCTCTGCTACAGGTTTCCTGTTTTTAAATCTGGTCACTCTTGGACTGAATGGAGTGATCAGATTTAAAAACTGGTTTCTTCCACAGGTAACTGGAAATAGAGCCTTTCTGCTCTAGACTGTTTGGAAACACAGCAAGGAGGGATAAAGTGAGGAAAGAAAGGAGGATGGAACACAGGGAGAAAGAAAGGGTTTGTATTTAAGATAGCCACTCATGGCCATGTTGGATCAACTTTTTGGCCATTTGAGAGTAAAAAGGTTTTGCAATCAATGCTCTAGCGCAGCAGTTCTCAAACTTTAGCAACCCGAGGGCTTCCATTTTGATTTAAAATTTTTCAGGGACCCCAACCCCCCCCCACCCGGCATAGCCCTTGCCCCACCCTCTTCTCTGAGGCCCCGCCCTGCCCCACCCCCTTCCCTGAGGGCCACCCCCCTGCTCACTCCATCCCCCCACCCTCTTTCACTTTCTCAAGGCTGGGGCAGGGGGTTGGGGGGCAGGAGGGGGTGTGGGCTCTGGGCTGGGAGTTTGGGTGCAGGAGGGGGTGCAGGCTCTGGGAGGGAGTTTGGGTGCAGGAGGGGGCTCAGGGCTCAGGCAGGGGGGTGAGGTGCAGGAGGGGGTGCAGACTCTGGGAGGGAGTTTGAGTGTGGGAGGGAGTGGGGTGTGGGCTCTGGGCTGGGAGTTTGGATGCAGGAGGGAGTGGGGTGTGGGCTCTGCTGGGAGTTTGGGTGCGAGAGGGGGCTCAGGGCTGGGGCAGAGGGGTGGAGTGCAGGAGGGGATGAGGGGTACGAGAAGGAGTTTGGATGCGGGCGCTGGGCTGGGGTATGGAAGGAGGTGAGGGGTGCAGTGCTTGCCTTGGGCGGCTCCTAAAAGCAACTGCCACATCCCTCTGGCAGCGGCTCCTAGGTGGGGTGCCAGGGGGTCTCCGCACGGTGCCCCTGCCCGTAGGCACTTTGGCCAATGGGAGCTGCAAAGTCAGCACTCGGGCCAGGGACTGTGCGCGGAGACCCCCCTGCTCCCCTCAGCCCCGTGCTGGCCGCTTCTGGGAGCGGCGCGGACCCAGGGTCCCGGCTCCTCCGCATCAGCGCTGCCCCAGCGTGAAGAAGGTGCTGGGAGAGAGGGGGAGGAGTTGATCAGTGGGGCCCGCGGACCCCCTGGAGTACCCTCGGGGACCCCCAGGGGTCCACCGACCCCAGTTTGAGAAACACTGCTATAAGAAACGTCTATAAGCACCAACATGACTATACATCACTAAAACACATGTCCCCAGCAATCTACCTGTCACACATTCACATTAATTTCTGGATACAAAATAAGTAAAATTAAGATTGACAATAAGAAGACACCCACCATTAAGAATACAGGACTCCAGTAAAACAAAGTTCTAGGAATAATCATGTACATCCAAATACCCTCTTTTCAACAAAAGTATCAAGTTTTTCAAACTTCTTTAAGAAAGACCTAATCAGACAATTATTCCTTCCCTTTACCTTAGGAAGCATAATAGGACTGATAAAAATAAGAATGGAAAACATTAATTTTATTCCACATAGTCCAAATTCTCTGGAATCCAGATAATGTATATCTAGTGATTAGAACCAATTTTTCTGTATTACAGTAGCATCTAGAGACCCTACCAAGAAGCAGGGAAGGAAGGAACCAAATTGCAGAGAAGTGTATAGAGATTAATAAGGAGAATAAAATTAGCCAGCTAAGAAACATGTGCAGTGAAAGCAAGGGCAGGGGATAAATGGAAGATATGGGAAAGAGCAAAAGTAGACAAGCAATTAACATTTTTCAAATGAACTTTTACCACATTAAAGACAACTAAAATACCTACATATACTCCCAGTTACTTTTCCATAATAATGGCCGTACTGGGTCAGACCAAAGGTCCATCTAGCCCAGTATCACATCTTCCAACAGTGGCCAATATCCGGTGCTTTAGAGGGAATGAACAGAACAGGTAATCCATGTAAGCAATTGCTAAAGTTGTCTCAGAAATGTTATGCCCTCTTGAATGGGAAGAGCTATTCACATGCTTGTGAATAGAAGGGCTGGTGTACCACCAACCACCATTAAGATGTGATCCATAGAAGAACCATAGAATATCAGGGTTGGAAGGGACCTCAGGAGATCATTTATCCAACCCCCTGCTCAAAGCAGGACCAATCCCCAGACAGATTTTTACCACAGTTCCCTAAGTGGCCCCCTCAAGGATTGAACTCACAACCCTGGGTTTAGTAGGCCAATGCTCAAACCACTGAGCTATCCCTCCCCACATACCACAGAATTTGAGAACCCTTGCTCTTTGGATCAGCATTCCCATGGGATGCCTCCCTGTCAAAAAATAATGAACTCAGGGTAACTTGTAAAACTAAGTTGTTAGGGGCCAAGGATTCTCTTAGTTCTGTTTGTACAGTTCCTAGCACTGGGGTCCTGGTGCCACAGTAATACAAATAAAGTGACAATCAGCCTAATAAGTAGGACCCTACCAAATTCATGGGCCATTTTGGTCAATTTCATGGTCATAGGATTTTAAAAAATCATAAATTTCATGATTTCACCTATTTAAATCTGAAATTTCAGTGTTGTAATTGTAGGGGTCCTGACCCAAAAAGGAGTTGTGGAAGGGAGGCAAAGTTATTGTAGGTGGGGTTGCAGTACTGCTACCCTTACTTCTGCGCTGCTACTGACGGCTGTGCTGTCTTCAGAGCTGGGCAGCTGGAGCAGAGCCACCGCCAGCAGCAGCGCAGAAGGATGGCATGGCATGGTATGGCCACCCTTACTTCTGTGCTGTTGCTGGTGGGGCGCTGCCTTCAGAGCTGGCTAACAGCCGCCGCTCTCTGGCTGCCCAGCTCTGACGGCAGCGCAGAAGTAAGGGTGGCCATACTGCAATCCCCCTAAAATAACCTTGCAACCCCTTGCATCTCCCTTTTGGGTCAGGACCCCCAATTTGAGAAACGCTGGTCTCCCCCATTAAATCTGTATAGTAGAGGGTAAAAACACACAAAAGACCAGATTTCATGGGGGGAGATCAGACTTCACGGTCTGTGATGTGTTTTTCATGGCCCTGAATTTGGTAGGGCCCTACTAATAAGTAATGAATGCTGAATTCATTGCCCATTACAACAGTGGTATTTGACAGGAGTTAAATTTCACTGAAAACTCAGGTAAGTTATTATTAGTTCCTAAAACTGAAAATATGTCACCATATAGTATATTAATTATTTACTATATAATTCTGTGAAACAGAATTAAAAAGTAAACAAGTCATATGACTACTCATTATTATACATTACTCAATTGTCTGTGAGGGATTACTTCGCTAACATGTTGTAATCCATGTGGAACAATGTCCAACTAACTAGTTTAAAGGTTGTCATAACTGAACCAACCCCACAGGGTGCAGAGCATCCTCAAAAGCCATGAGAGTTGAGGATGCTCAACTCTTTGAGAGGATTAAGCCCTTAGTTACCCAGCAGGATGCAATTCTACTCACCTTATTTATATTAGTGGGTCCCATTGATTTTAAGGGGTATACCTGTGTGAGTAAAGTGACCAGGAACTGGGCCATTGTGACATGCTGTGTACAGTACATCCATGTACTAAGACTATGTTTATTATTAACAAGCTAATAAAACTCCTCTGTGCTACTATTCAAATAAAGGATATAGTGCTTGAGTGGGGACCGGGCACCTGAAGAGAAAAAATCATCAAAAAAGATGTGGGGAGTGGGGACAACACAGGAGCAGGAAGAGAGCAACAGAGAAAAGTTGGATAAAGTGGATGAGAAGAATTTTTTCTCCTGACAAAAAGATATTGAATACAAATAAATAACATAATAGAGAGAGAGAGAGATATTTAGAGAGAACATGACAGAGAAAGAAAATGGATTGAGAGATCAACCTGGAAAAGCAAATGAACTCCCTGCACTGAAGGTGGGTGTGAACCCTTTAAATATAAAACTAGTTATTTGTACTCCAGTTAGTACATTATCAAAAAGCCAGTAATTTGCTGGTTCTGATGAGGGTAAATAAGTTACAGGGTAATAATACTTCTAATAAGGTACTTACATGATTTGGTGTGGAGAGGTAGATTGCAGCCACCACTTAAAGAATAAAAAACTCAGTCTTCCAAGTCTCAGGCCAATCGTGCACAACTTGTCTTAAATATAAATTTTAATAAATTTAGTTAAATTCTATCAAACATGCCTTATTCAACAGCTAATTTGATACCCAGCAATCTAATAGTACGTATCACATCTTAAATGAGGTAGCCTGAAATATATTTAACCTTCCAATGTTGATACTATAAATCTGTCATGTCCAGACACTGTAGTCTCACATTAACTCTTATAAATATTAAACATATATAGAAAGCAATGTAAATGGGTCAAGTATCTATTCTACTGTGAGTGGCTAATCCTTTTTAGTAAAAGCATATTTCTCTAATAAATATTAAGTGCAAAGCTAACAAAAACAAGTAATATATGGAGCATTTGTTAACTGATTTAAGTATCAATCATCTATACATAGCAATATTCCTCTCTCCCCCCTCCCTTTCCCTGTGAATCTTCAGTCTCTGGGCTTATTCTGGTTTAAACAGCAAGAAAGCAGCTTTGTGGGTGATACACCTTTAATAAAGGGAATCACATATTGGATTCAGAAAGCTCCAAGACAGTTGGGAAATGGCAGTTGATCAGATGGATGATTGGATGGGGGGACTATAAGCTAGGGAGGGGAGGGTTGATGGCTTGTGATTGTGTATGTTTGGGACAGAACAAGCTTGGGATAAAAGTTGACTTGAGTAGCAATTAAGTGATCACAGTTAAGTAGAGATAGAACATGTATGTATGTTAAATCCATATTAGCATTAAGAATAAACTGCTTTACATTTTACATTAGGGTATTTATGAGTGGTGCTTTAACAGCTGGAGAGACCATAAATATATGAAGGCCAAGGTATTAAGAGTGATAGGATGAAAATAAAATAGATTAGATCCCAGCCTTAACACTGCAAGAGTAACCTCTGTCATGTAAAAGAGGTGAAGATGCCAGTTAAATTGCTGTGCTGCTCTTGGGACTGCAGTAGTCTGCAGGTGATGATCTTTAACAGGCACGATACATTAATTAGAATATGAGTATGAAGAATGCTAATCCAATGCACTATTTAATGGAAAGAATGGCTGGCTTCACTTTCCACAAATAACAACACTTTGGAGTTGAATATTTAACTTTCCGTACAAATAGCGGGAAGCATGTTTTGGGTGATGCCCCTTTGCCGAAAGAGACAGAATGTTGGAACCAGAAGGTTCCATGGGGGTTGGAGAAAGGTCTTCTGAAGAAAGTGGAGTGTCGGCAGCAGGAATTCAGCTCCCCTCCCCCTTGAGGAGGAGAGACAAAGAAAAGGCAGGGGGGAACCGTAATAGGAAGCCGGGTGAGAAGAACTGTATCAGGGAATATGGAGCTGAATAAAGCAAAAAGCAAAATAAACCAACAGAGGAAAAGACACAGAACTGACTAAAACTCACCAGAAAAGAGAAGAGAGTTCCTTATGATCTCTTTGCACTATGTATGTGAAGCCTGTGAATTGTTGCCTGACATGTATGCTTAAATACAAATATTTTTTTTTTCCCTCACTATATTGAGTACTCTTGTTTCTGTGACAGGCAAACAGATCTGGAGAACAATACTACTAGCATGTAGTATCTATGCAACTTGTGAGTATTTAAAGTGGATTTGTAACAGTTGCAATCCAAATAGTCAGATCACCTAACTGCATGTTTGTGTATGTAATATACACAAACCTTGATCCAGTGGTAAAAAGCTACACTGGCAATACTCTGCCTTCAATGTAGACAAGCAACTCCCACTGACATCAACAGAAATACAGCACACAGATTGAGGGCACTATATGGCCTTAAGTGTTATTACAATAACTCCGTTTTGGAAGTTGGAAGCTTGGTGTTCTCATTTGCACATCAATACCCAGAATGCTCTTTCAGCTCCACCACTATTTTATACATGTGCTCTGGTCTGAGCTCTTGGGGGAAAAAACCTGAAAGTTTGGGATGTTCTTTTGTGCACAAAATTCCGTATTTTCCCTAGTATAACATTTTAAGTGAAGAAACCATATTTATGAATTGATCTGGGAATTTTTTTTAATACCATATCTAATTTAATTTCACAAGTGTAGAAAAGTACACTTGAAGCCTGTGACTTTTTAAATACTTTCTTAGAATAAAATATGAACTTAGTGGTGGAAGTAGGGGGAACATGTGCAAAAACAAACTACTGTGGCTTCCCACACCAAGACCGAACAAGTCAAATTTCATCCAGAACTGAATTATTGTGAAGCCATTAAAATAGGATTTTATGATGGAGAGACCCTGAGGGCACAAGGAAGCCAGTCCAGAGAAAGCCCCTTATTCAATCAAAGTAGTGAGAGTGCTTGGCATGCTTCGCTCAGGGCCTGAGGAACCCAGCCTCACTGTGGAGGGAGCCTTGCATGGACGGATCTTGGGGCTTGTTCAGCTCCAGGATCCCAATGGTCAGCACAAAGCTAAACCGGGCAGTCCGGGTTTCCCCAACATGGAGGGACGCGGGGTTGTGTAATCGGCTGACTCGTGCAGCTCCCCCCCCCCGAGCAGCGCCTCCCCAATTGTTCGTCTCAGGAGGGGTTTTGCCCTGGATTGGGAGCGAACTCCTGTACTCCTTTTCGTCCCCCCCCCCCGCTCCTTGTGTCCAGCTTTCTTGCCCTCACGGAGAAGGCGGTGCAGTGAAGGTCTGAGT